ACCAGTGTTCCTGTAACAATAACCTATATAAGCAACCTTGAGTTGCCGTCGACAAGTTACCTCTCACCTCAGTGATTGGCCGATTTCAATATTCACTGTGATTTGAACCAATCAGGTTTTAAATTGGGAGAAGGCGACTACGATAACATTTAAAATCGGTAAAAAGTAAGGTTAACTATTTGACAGATGTCAGATTTTATAATATTATCGTTGAGTGCTGCAATGAGGTACTTTACCCCACCCAAAATTTTGATTTTATAGGTTGGCTACAGCATAATATTTTGCATATTGGTTATAATATTTTTATGATTTTTACTTAGTAGAGTACTTACGAGAAATTAAGGACGCCATGGCGAATCGATTTTGACATTAACCCTTCAAACCAGTGTATGGCACGCCGTTTTAGCATTTATCAGATAAAAGTTTAAAGATTAAAGTTTAGCACTTAAATTATGTTTTAACAGAAATTTATAAAGTTAAATTTTTTTAAACTCAAAACAATTGATAGTCAACAAAATATTTTAAATATAAATGCAACAGTAACAATTTATGTTTAAAAATATTGATTTTTAAATGTTTTTTAATTGTCGAATTAACTTAGTACAATAGGCACTAAAAATGTTGTTGTTCTATTATTAAATTTATGTAATAAAGAAACATTTCATTACGATAATTTGTAAAACGCGTCAAATATTTATGGAGCAAGCACGATTTGGCAACACTGCGGATCAAACTGGCTGCATCGTGGCTCCGATCCCAGACTCTTGCGCCTTCTACTAAAGCTACGTTTACACTTTGTAATTTAAAAAATTATCGAGTTACATTTAAATGTAAAGTTATAAATTTTGTCTTAAAAATGCATCAATTTAAAATTGTTAAAAATAAAAGTTATTGGTTTAAATTTGTAAAGAGTCATTTAAATGATAGTCGATAAAATTTTAATGCAAAAATTACCACATTAAAATTTAAAACTAACATTTAAATGTAATTTTGAAACTTTTGTATTGAAAATTTATCGACTATCATTTAAATGACTTTACAAATTCAAACCAATAATTTTGAAGAATAAAATATTAAAATTCCATTTTTTAAAAATTAATATTTTTAAACTATATTTTATATTTTGATGATGTTTTATATGTGTTTTTATTTTAAATGGCTTGATACTATTTTTAAATACTAAAAAATTGAAAGAAAATAATATTGTTAATACAGAAGTGAACTGTTGGTTAGTAAATTTTGTCTTTCAATACATGATAGTTAAAAATATTTTAAATTTATAAATGTAAACCTAAAAATTTTAGTTAGGAAAATTTTAAACCAATAAATGATAAAACGGCGTGCCATAGAATACATAAACTGCGTTTCAAACTTGATTGAAAATCAAAAATGTCTATTTAATCAAGATAGCAATACATTTCACCAGCATTCCTGTAACAATAACCTATATAAGCAACCTTGAGTTGCCGTCGAGAGGGTTTGAAGTTACCTCTCACCGTCGCTGACGTAGAGTTGACCTATATAAGGAGCCGCGTGGACTTTTCGCGAATTTATCATAAAAACAGTGATAATCATCAAAGCAAGGTGAGCTCGTGAGATAAGAGGTGGGCTCATTAGCGGCGACGGCGTTTATCCCGCCTCGCACACAACTCTCGCAGAGAAAACGGCACAAAAGAGATTTAATTCGTCGGGCTTTTAAGATAATTGAATGGGCGGTGGAAGTGAGAAAAAACTCGGTTTTAAAAATCGGGTGCACAAGATGTTAAATCGATACCACAGATTTATTTCGTCTTACTTTGCGTTTCGTGTTAAAATAAACGAGTTTTAATCTACTTTAGCCATGAATTATTCATTTTTTGCAATTTTCATGTTTAAATTTATCATAAAAATGCTTTAAAAACGATTTATAATCATTTCCACGAGTCAAAGACTAATTATGCGATATGGCAACATCGCAATTTTCTTTGTTCTGTGTTTTAGGTTTTTTCATGCATGTCGTTGCAAGGAAATGGTTAACATTATTATAACCTACAAATTTTATTAAAAACGTTTTATAAATAAAAAAGTTATACGCTCAAGAAGTATCGCTAGTAGCGCCACCACTCGGTTAATTGTTATCATCGTAACAAAAGTAGAACTTGTTTTTGAGAATAAAGCCGGAAAATGTTAAAAAAATATCGAAAAAAAACGTGGCACGATTTGTATTTCGAGAGGAAATCCTGGGTTGAGTTTTTACCGGTTTTCCAATAAACAGTGTTAATCTGAATGAAGAAATAAATTGCATACAGTCTCTGTAAATATAAATTGTACCTATTAGATACAATAAATACACATTTTAGTAGTGATTAACGTGAAAAGTGTAAACATTTCAATTCAGTAAAAATCGTCAAACAGATAAGTCATCTAAATTTAAACAGCATTTAGCATTATTAAAAGCCTTGATTAAGAAAGTCTACACTCAACGGTAAAATACCATTATATTATGTATTTTATATAATATTATGTTGCCATGAATTCGTAGGTATACCTATATATATATTTTGATGTTTAAAATTTTGATGTTTAAAATGCAGTTGTCGGAGTTTTTTAGAGAACTCAAATATAAAAATGGTTGATTTTAAGGTTATGTTTGTTTAAAAATTATTTTTACTAATTTCTTCAAAATGTCCAAACTAAATATAAATTATATTAGGTAAAGTTATCATTAGTTAATTCTGCACCGACAAATGTACTTACCGAATTGGATTCTTTGGAAAAACATGAAAATGCAACGATTTAGTTCTTGAATTTTATTTACAATTAAAAACACAATAATTCACCATGATCCCTTGGATAAAATACACACACTAACGTAACTATATAAGGGTGAAAATCAAACAATCTTTGGAAAACGACCTACAACAATTAAAAAACTAAAATGTTGCTTTTTGTCCATTAAACTTTTTAATATTCTAAAATAAAGATTTCGCAACATAATAAAGCTTATCTTTGAGATCAAGGAAAGGTAGTTTTTTGTTATGTTGATAATTGTTGTCTTCTGATCTCAATTATGTCTAGTCGGTAACAGTATAGTTTGTCGGGAATAAAGGTTCTGTAAATGGAATAATAATCAAAATATATGTTTAAAAAAATACTTATAGTAAATACCATTATAATCAAAATTGCAAATATTGGTGTTATACATCAGAAAAATGTAACAAATCTCATATCGACATCAAAATTTTACCGCTAGAACAGTTACCGATTAGACATCGTAAAAAAATACGGTAGCGTTTTTATGCAAACAAGCCTAAATATATTTTTTTAATGCATAAACAGAAAAACTTACCTGGTTTGAATGACACATAAACACTAACTCTAGCACACTAACCAACAAATGACAGGTATTACGTATCCTGGCGGATTTTAGGCGAAATTACAGTTATCGTTACCGACAGGATGCGATCAAAGCAGACAGTCTGTTACCCAAAGGCTGGATCTTTAAAACCAAATTGTTTTTAAATAAAATGTAATTTATTTAATACTTGGTGTTAGTTTCTTTAAAGTGATTTACATTTGTCCTGTTTTTAAAAATGATTTGATTGAAAAATCTAGCGTAAAATTGTAAAACGTAATAAGGGACGCGTTACCGACGAGACAAAATAGCTCTTTGTTTTTCATTTTAATCGATGTTTTTAAATCTGGGTAAATATTTAATATAAATCTCGTATAATTAACATGCAGAAATAATACTAATAAGTTTTGAGACACTTCACTTCTTTTTCTAATTTTTAATTAGCCAAAGACGCCTACCTAAACATTTTTTTATTTTTACCCATAAGCATTTAAGCGTTGAGTTTCTTAATCAATGATATAAAGAATAATCAATCGAAATCAAGTACTAAACCAGTTTTTTAGTTTTTTCCTTGCAACGTAAAACACAAATAACGTGCGCGATTTAGCTGTGCAATTGAACAAAATTTGTCGAGTAAGACTTCTGCCTTTCTCTCTTTGTACGATATGGCAACGTCGAAATTTTCCCCATTTTAACACCAAAACAAAATACAAAGTGCTTAAGTATACTTATTTTATTAAAATCGTTTTTATATTGTAAAATTTAAATTGTCTTATTTATAAATCAATTTTGTTAATATGTTTATGGTTTTCTAAAAAACGCCATTGTCTATAACGCATTCTATTTTTTATATTTAAATTTATTATATAAATTCTTAATATAAAATGTACAACCAAACAGACAAATTGGGCGATTGGCAACATTGTAATTGTCTTGTTTTTATATTTGGCAACGCTGTGTGTCTCATAAGACAATCTTAAAGCTTTGTTATTATTGACAATTTTTTTCTAAATAAAGCCTTAAATCATTAAAATATAGAACAAAAAATTCAATTTTAAAATCATAAAAACGAATTTTCTCTAATAAAACACTAAACATTTCACAAAAATCAAGAAAGTTGGACATTTTTTCCAACGTAAAATCGAGTCCTGTCCTGTTTAATCTTCTTTGTTAAAAAACGACACATGACAGAAAACAATCTCCGTATATCTTTTTTTATTAAATTTGTCGAGCTTTACAATCGTGGACAGTTTTTATTAGGTACTTTTTCTAGGAAAATCTCCCAGGAAAGTTTAACGTATCTGTACAAAAAACGTGACGTGCGCGTTGAAAAACATCCGAACGTCTAGACTAAATAAAAAACGTTTTCACATCATATTAGCATTCATTAAAACCATGGATAATAATACACCGCTTTGTTTAATTAATTAATATAATACATAAGCTTTTCGGGGATCGATTGATTATATTAGTTTAACGTCGAAAATACTTATAATTAGAATTCCAAGCAGATCTTCGTTAAATTTTAACGATATAGGCGGGTGATGAGCTTTGTATTTAGTAATTACCCCAATACGCCGCAATGGGGCTTTAATTTTGCCTATAGAATCTACTATAGGTAGGTACTTAAAGTTAATTAATTGTAGGTCTAGGATTGTAAGTAAACATGATTAAATGGTAAAAATATGTTGATCAAAAGCGTGTTATGAATAATAATAGTGGGCAATAATTGAAACAAAAATCACGTTTTCTTTGAAATAATTGTGCAATCAACGAAATAATCAATATAAATTAAAATACTCACCCAAACTAATACATTAACCAGTTCTTGTACATTTTTTCTTTTAAACAAACTTTTAAAACCTATTTAAACACAAAATATAATGTCACCGCATTTTTATAAGTAAAACGACCACAAACGTCAAATCTGTCAACCGTCAAAATACGGTTGCCATGGAAACATCCAACTCGCTGACCAATCATTTTCGAGATTTCAAATTGAAATCTCGAAAATGATTGCTAGATTTGAGTTTAAATTTTACCTAAAATATAATTTATTTATGTATGATATATTTCCAAGTAAATTCTAAACAAACAACAGTGTTACGTGGAATATATAATTTATTTATGAGAAAATATCTTTTCGAGTGCATTTTTAACTGGTGCAGAGAAATAAACAATACGAATACGTTGTTTTTTTAAATATGAAACACGAAATATTCGGAAGACGCTAGAATTCTTCAAGCGCACGGGAGTAAAAAAACAGGACAGGACTCGTGTTTTATAGGTTTTAAAGTGAATTTTCGTGTTCTCTAGTAAAAGGGAGCAATATTCCTTCATCACCGCCATTATTTGATAAATTGACGACGAATTTAAAGCATATGCATTATATGACTGATATTTATGTTATTTTTCGCCTCCGTTGTTTTGTGGTAAAACAAAAGCCAGGTTGACGTTTGTGGTGTTTGTACACAACAGGGGAACGCCCCCTGGTGCTTGGTAAATAATTTATGATCAAATATCGTCCGGTTATCTATGCGAGAACGTTTCAGATTAAACGACATGCAGGACCATTATTCAATTTGAGCGACGCACGATTTATTGAGACGCCCCTCTTAATAATTATTTTGGTGCGATATGGAGCGACTGTAGTTAAATTTATTACATGTCATTCAAAAGAGTACCGTCCCTATTGTAAATGACCAATAGAATCCAATAAAAATAAGTAATTGATTTGAAATGTGTTTTGGCGCTATGAATTACCAATTCATTCCAGTTGCATTGGTAATTTCCAATGAAGTCACCGGTTGGATTGGGAAGTACCAATCCATGCCTTTGCTTGTCTTTATTGGCTAAATCCAATAGAAATGCACATGGAATGAATTGGTAATTCATAGCGCCAAACCCATTCCAACCAATTAAAACAAATTATTTTATTTAATTTGAATAACCAATTAGCAGATTTTTTGAATCTTACACTGGGAATGTCCAATTGAATTCAATTGGAAATTACCTATAGATAGCTTTATCCAATCGAAACCAATAAAAACCATTAGAATCCTAATTGGACTTTTCCATCATGGAAAATACCAGTAAAAACCAATTTCTGTTTTATATCGCTCCCAATTAAATCCAGTAAGTCCAATTCAGACCCATTGATACCTACGAATACTTCAATTGGTTTCTACAGGAATTAATCGGTCATTTACAAAAAACAGGGGTTTTTCTTTATTTTTATTATTTTTATAGTGTTACCGAAATCAAACTTTGAGTATCAAAGTGAAACGTGTTTCCACTCAATCATCCCCACCTATGAACGTAGAGGGGATACTATTGGCTTTTATGTCTGTAGTGTCAGAAATCTGATTTTGACAAAAATTTTGACCAAAAGGGCCTTGGGAAAATGTTGGTTTCCAAATACCCGAGTGACCACTCGTTTTATAGTAAATCAAGGTTGCTGAATTCGATTTTTACAAGGTTTTTGACCTAAAGGGCCTTTGGGAAATGTTGTTTTCTGATTACTCGAGTAACCACTCATTTTATAGTAATTTTGGGTCCCTGAATCAGATTTTGACAACAATTTTGACCCAAAAGGCCTTGGGAAAATTTTGCTTTCGGGATACCCGAGTGACCACTCGTTTTATAGTAAATCGAGGTCGGTGAATCCGATTTTGACAAAATTTTTGACATAAAGGGCCTTTGAAAAATGTTGGGTTCTGATTACTCGAGTGACCACTCATTTTATAGTAATTTTGGGTCCCTGAATCAGATTTTGACAACAATTTTGACCCAAAAGGCCTTGGGAAAATTTTGCTTTCGGAATACCCGAGTGACCCCTCGTTTTATAGTAAATCAAGGTTGCTGAATTCGATTTTGACAAGGTTTTTGACCTAAAGGGCCTTTGAAAAATGTTGGTTTCTGATTACTCGAGTGACCACTCATTTTATAGTAATTTGGGGTCCCTGAATCAGATTTTGAGAAGAATTTTGACCCAAAAGGCCTTGGGAAAATTTTGGTTTTTGGATACCCGAGTGACCACTCGTTTTATAGTAAATCAAGGTCGGTGAATCGGATTTTGACAAAATTTTTGACCTAAAGGACCTTTGAAAAATGTTGGGTTCTAATTACTGGAGTGACCAATCATTTTATAGTAATTTTGGGTCCCTGAATCAGATTTTGACAACAATTTTGACCCATAAGGCCTTGGGAAAATTTTGGTTTCGGGATACCCGAGTGACCACTCGTTTTATAGTAAATCAAGGTTGCTGAATCCAATTTTGACAAAATTCCTTACTTTAAGTAGTTAAAATTGCGATTTTTAATATTCTGATGATATTTTCGGGGTATTCTAACACAACGCTACATAACTAGACTTAAAATTGGCGATCGCAACGTTGCCAGATCGGGTAATTTGTTTTTATAAACGGTTAAATTGTCGGTGGAGAGTGAATTAGCTGCGCCGGCACTGTGCAGCTGTGTACAGCTGATCGATAATGGAGCGCGCTCGGCCATTTGTTACTCTGGAAACGCGGCGTATCGAAAAACTTTTGTCGAATTACTCGGCCGACTGGATACAGCTGCCGTTTCCACGTCAAACTCGCTGTTAAACACAGCGAAATTTTATTAGATCTCATCAAAAATAATAATCATACTTTTATGGGGAAACAAAAGGCGATTTTCGTTTGGGGATGAGATTTTTCGGGCAATTATCGGAATATTGATGGTGTTTTGTTCTAATTAATTTCCCAAATTATCCTATTTTATGGATTTGTTTCGAAAATTCATTGTTTAATGGTGATGAATAGTCAAATAAATCTCGTAACCAAATAAGCCAAAATCAATTTTAATGTTAAAATTAAGGTAGAGGTTTACAGAGACGGAAACAAATGTGGTATGCTCCGAAATATACAGTACGACAAAAAAAAACCTCCCTCCCATGAAAAATTCCTATAGATTTTAAAAATAGACTTAAAAAAATGATCTCGTTTTTTAGATCACGTCATTTATTTTTTAAGTGCGATTCAATAAAATGTTATCCACGGTATTCGGCACATAATATAACAGCTTTGATTATTTTTCTAAAACATTTTAAACAAAATTCCACTTCCGGTTTGACCGGAAGTGACGTCATCTTTGTTATTTCAAATAGAACACCCCATATATTTTTACATTTTTAGATTCTACATAAAATTTTGAGTAAAATTACTGTACCATGTGAATGTAAACTATATATATAAACTATAGTTTTCGTGTCATTAATTTTTTTCGTTAAAATTTGACAAATGCTCGTCAATCAAAAATAACCTATAACTTTTTTGCTAATAGGTTTGCCGAAATGGGGGTGGAATTTTTGGAATCGTAAAACATTGCTTAAAAGATTCCTTGTCAATTATTTAACATTTTTTAACCAATTATCCAAGAAAATCCAGGGCAAATTAGGCTAACTTGAAACGTTAATAACTTTTTTATTTTAAATGAAACACCCTGTATGTTTTTACATAATCCAATAGAAAATTAAAAAACATTCCGATTGATTAACATCTCTGAAATTATTAACTTTAGGTATAGGGATCTCGAAAACCATTTACTTTAGGGATAGGAAATGGTATATTAATTTTACTCAGAATTTTATGTAGAATTTAAAAATGTAAAAATATATGGGGTGTTCTATTTGAAATAACAAAGTTCCGGTCAAACCGGAAGTGGCATTTCGTTCAAAATATTTAAGAAAATAGACTTAAATGTATTATAAACGCTTTTAAATTTCAAATCGATATTTTTTTCCCCAGAAACTTCCAATCGACCACGAATGTGAAACACCCTGTATATCAAGTGGTGATTTTAGGTTGTGATACCACTATAGATTCTAAAGCAATGTATAATCGTCAAACAAAATATCAAGATTTGTTTCCAACATATATTTAATAGGTACCTATAAGATAAATACAAATCTGTTGTTTTAAAAAAAAATCTAAAATTAAAACCAAAAATATTTTTTTTACTAAAAAAAATAACATTTTTAATTTCTTTAAGTAGGTATAACTAACTTTTGTATTATTTGAAATCATACAATATTTGAAGAAAAAAAAATGAGGCATAACAAAATAGTTCAAAACGATTTTTAAAATAAAGGTTAAATATTTTTAATTCTCTGTGTTTTACTTTTGTTAAAATTATTTTGTGTTTTACGACAACAAAATTCTTTAATTTGATATGGTTATATTTGCTTTGTTAACTTTGTTATTTAACAAAGGATTTCGATGAAATTTTAAGGCTTTGTTAATGCCCCCAGCAAACACATAAGTCTGATTATGTAATGGCCCATTATGTAGTTTTATGGCTTAATAATGGCATTTTTAGCCAAAGCTTTTCTGGTACTGGACTTTTACAGTAATGTTTTACTAAAAATACCTATTTTGATAAAAGGCTGTCGTGATATAATATAAGGTGTAGCAATATTTGTATATTTTACCACAAAAGACCCATATATATATGGCAATGTTCAGTATCAAGTTAATGGGCTAAATGTGGTAGGTATATATAGGGTGAGTCATTTAAGTTGAAATTTTCAAATATCTCAGTTAGTATGCATTCTACGAAAAAATGTTTAAAATAGGTTGGCTACTTTAAACAGCATACTAGTAATAGTATATTAAAGAACTAATGTCCTAAGACGTCATTTTGTCGCACGCGGACAATTTGTAATGGACGAGTGCGACATGAGTTCTTTATGCTATTTTATCTATTTTGCAAAAATTCTATAAAAAAATAATTTTATACCTTAAATTTAGTTTGGTCGAATTTTACTTTAGATAGTTGGTATTACAGTCATTGGTTTGACAGTTAATGTCAAAATCGATTCGCCATGCCGTCCTTAATTAACTTATTTACAATAAGCGGCTGTTAATGTTAAAGAAGAAAAAAAAGGATTTTCTTTGGTGTTAAACAAAATTTATTGCCAGAAAAGTCTCGTAAGCAATAGAAAAATCGTAAAAATATTATAACCAATATGCAAACTATTGTGCTGTTTAAAGGATAGCCAACCTATAAAATCAAAATTTTGGGTGGGATAAAGTATCTCATTAGAGCACCCAAGCAGCATTTTTGGTTCCAAAAACCATTACCAAAGTGGTGATAACTTTAAATTAGTTAAGTATATTAAACAGCTACTTTAATTTTTACTTTAAAGTAATTCTAATTTTTAAATAGCAATATTTTGTAACAAAAACTTTATTCTTTCCTTAAATGATAACTATTAAATAACATTTAAGTAAAACTTGGTTGCCCCCAAGAAGACTTTGCAACTTTAAAAAAGGTGTTATAACTAAAAAAACTTTCAGTAAATTTGATTTGTAGCAGTTACTTTCGGCTGCTACCTAAAGATTACATTATAATTGAATACGTCAATGCAGAAACTGAATATGTCCTACCTATCTAGTTTTGAGATAAATAAGAAAAACTGAACAGAAAGTGGACATGTTCTGGACATATTCAGTTTCTCTACTATATTAACGCCTTTGTATAATCTAGATTACCGTGACATGTGAAATTTCTACGCCATTCGATCGGGCACCCTTTACTTATAGTAAATCCATGTTTAACTCAATATCCCTAAAAAGTGGACATATTCAGTTTCTGCATTGACCTATTCAATTATTTTTACTTTGTGGTCCCTTTGCAAGTTAAAATCTCGAAACTGGAAAAACTACAAAGTTATTATTTTAGTATTTGGAACGTTTATGGTACTAACCAAAACTACCGTAAGGTAAATTAAAAACTTTAGTAGCGAAAACTACTTCAAAGGAAAATGCCTCTTATTGGCCATTAAATAGTGTACAGTACCACGAGGTAATGTAAACAATAAATTATTTTAATTGTTTGTTAATGCTTGTTTACTTTTTAATAAATAGTAATTTTGTTGGTAAAAGACGGTATTATAATTAAATAAAAAATTAATAATAAATATTAGGATTTTTTTATTTATACTTAAACATTATTAAATAAATAATTTGTTTATACTTAAATATTGATGAAGCGCATTTATTTTACAAAAAATTCAACAGTAAAATTAAAATTAAACATTATTTTGTTATTCTGGAAGTTATAAACTACCAGTACATATTTAATAAACGACGACATTGAAAAGCCAAGTCCGTAGTGGTTCCATTTAAAAAAGGAGGGATAGTATAATTTAATATAAGTTTGACGAAGACAGTTAATATAGAAGTAAAAACAAATAAATAAAAGTAATTATAACGCTCTAGCAACGATATTGGAACGTTCTAGTAACGTAGCAGCTACGTTCCAAATAGTAGCAGGGTTTATAGCTAGCGACATATTTGCTACCTTTTTGGAACTCAATAATTGTTCCCCACTTTAGTCGTAACTTAGTAATGAAAGAGTAATATAAAGAGACCGGCGACTGTCGCAAAACACTTTAAAGTTTCTTCAATAGTCCCATATACAGCCCGTTCAGAGTAAAACCGAATATAGGGAAACACACAGTAGCTTGTGTGATAAACGACATGACGAAAGGTCGAGCAGGTAAGACGACCTTAAAAATTAAATGATAATAATGCAAAAAATCTCATTAGCGATTCAGGCTATTTGCTTAGCTCCTGTGTCGCGCGTTGGAGGGAGGCGAGGCAAATACTTAAGTTGTTGCTTGGGTCATTATATAATAGAACCTTTTCTACTTTCAGTTTCAAATGTCTTGACAACGGGCCCAGGGCCACCAGAATGCCTGCAGACGAAGACTATGGACGAAGACAGATCCCACATCAGCAGCAGCAGCAGCAGCAGCAGCAACCATCAACAAATCAGCAGCAAAACCAGCAGCAGCAGCAGCAGCAGCAGCAGCAGAATGCGTCTGCGTCGCCGGTGCCCGTTCAGTGTTCTGCTGGTTGCATACCTTCACCTGCAGACCATCGTCGTCTCGCGGCGGCGGAAAGGTACGACGATCGGTTCGCTTCGGAGCGCTTCGGCTCCGAGCGCAGCAGCTCGGAGCGGCTGCCGTCGGGCGAGAGGTACCAGGGCGTGTCGGAGAGGTACCCGCTGGGGGACAGGCCGCAGACCTCCGTATCCAGCGAGAGGCTCGTCTCGAAAGAGGGGCTCTGCCCGAGCGACAAGGAGAGGTGAGAAATACAATTTTCGACGTTTTTTATTTGTTTGCACCAAAAGTCTATTGTAACGTTTTTACTGTCCGTAGTGTGAATTAAAACACGCACTGGTTTATTAACGAACTAAACTATTTATTTTATAACTTAATTACACTTAAAACACTAAAAAACTATAAAACTAACTAAACACTTAACTACTAGAGTCTATTTATTTGCACGTTTATATATTTATTTCGACGCGAGTACCAAAACTTGACTGACTGCTCTGTGCTGCTCCGTTCCTTATATATTCAGCGCCCAAGTCTTCTAGAACGTTCCAGCGAGCTCCACACTCTCGATTGTTCGAGCGATGACTCATCGCCGATGATTCATTATTCCGATATCCAGAGCCGCACTCGCTATTTGCAATTACCCGAAACATTCATTTAACGTGAAGTTTTCAGTTACCCGGTTTAAAATAAACTAAACGCTAAATGTAAGGGCAGTTTTCAATTCTCCAATTAAATATCAATATAGGTAAACCTTTTAAATGCAATTAAAATTTTTTTAAACACTTTATATAACGTTTTCTTAAACGCTGTTGCTAGCTGTGACGTCGCCAAAACAATTATATCGTAAGCATTGATCAATAAATTCTAAAACTTTAAAACAATTGTTCGGGTTTAAACCTGAAATGTCCATTTCCAGTAATTTTATGAAAATTTATGGAATGACTCAAAAGTTATATAATTACTTGGAAATAATTTTTCTCTAAATTAAAGTAAAGCTCCGTTTTTAAACAAGATTTAACGGCATACTAAAAAAGTGTACTTGAAGTGTTCTTAGGAGGTTCCATCTTTCCAGGTACCAATACAATGAAAGGATCAGCTGCCCCAGGTACCCGGAGCGCTACACCCCGGTGCAAAACGTCGGCAGCCTCGACAGGTACCACCACGGAGGCGGCACCCTCGACAGGTACTCCCGCACCAGCACTCCAACCGACCGCTACCACACCCTCACAGCGGAAAAGGACCGCTACAGCGAGGACCGCTACACCCCCACCGAACGCAGAACCAACCCGAAGATCAGACCGAAGCAGCAGCAGCAGCAGCAGCAGTACCAGTACGACCGCTTCCCGCCCATACCTTGCCCAGAGCGCTTCGCGACGCAACCCGAGCGCATCCAGTACGCGCAGCAGGTGCAGTACCTGGAACCCCCCTCCCCCGCGCCGGCCAGCGACAGGTTCATCCCCCCTCCACCTTTATCCCCTGAGAACACCCCCAGTCCCGACTGCTACGTCAACAACGCCTTCCCCTCGCCTACAACCGCCCTCCCCGAGAGGTTTATCCCCCCTCCGCCGCTGTCCCCCTCCCCCACCGAGAAGCTACCTCAGCAGAGGTACCACATAGACAGAAAGTACTACAATTCCTACCACACTAACGCTGGGGAGCGCTACATACCGCCCAACGCGCACACGCCCGTCGAGAGGTACGTCCCGCAACCCCAAGAGTACTACCAGCAGTACCAACACGACCGCTACAAGTACAACCCCTCCTCAACCGACCCGTACATGAGGAGAGACCTGGCCTTCCACTACAGACTCCCCTTGCCGTACAACCCGAACCAGTACCAACGCTTGCGGTACGTGGGCACGCCCAACCGCACTGTCAAGTGCTGCGGGTACCAGGACGGGTACCAACTGTCGAAATCCAGCCCCGGTTCATCCTCTTCGAGCTCCGTGACGAGTCAGAAAGAATCCCAGTGCCAAATAGCGACCCACCAGGAGGAGAAGTCCACGCAGTGCGTCATAGTGTCGCCGAGTATGCGCAAGACGTGCAGACACGGCGTCTGCTCGTCGCCCGGCGTGGAGTACGTGGGCGGGGCGGGCGGGCGCCACGTGTGCGCCACGCCGCCGCCCGTCGGCGCCCAGTGCGACCAGCAGTGCTGCCAACAGGCAGCCAGAAGGCCGCAAGCCACCCTTCAACTGTGGTGAGTGAATTTTAATCGATTTGACATTGCATGACTGTACTTTGAAATGTGCATAATAATTCGTCTATTATATAAATATAATTTATAAAATCATGATACATATGGGCCATTCCTCACAATTATACGTCGATTAAGTATACAGTGTGTATTAAAACGAATAGGTACACTTAAATAAAACAAGTGTCAAACCCCGCCCACTGTGGTAGGGATTGAATTTAGAAAAAAGTTATTTTCGTTATTTTTGTTTGAGAATTTATAGGTTTTATTTTTATCGAATTCTTTTGTTTTGTTTTAATGCATTTCTGCAAATAAAAACTAAGTATTATTTAAAATCCATTAAATTCCAGTAAATGGCGAAAATGTATTTTTTAAAAACTACGACAGTGTCGGAGCTACTGAACACAGTAGATCAAACTGCATGCCCTTGTATCTGGCTGCATGCCGCGCTGTTGCCATATGCTATTATTGTTTCCTAAAAGGGTTGCTTTTCTTATTTTTTAATATTAAAAGTAATAAAATTAACTAAATCAAATTATTTTTGACATATTATTAATTTTTTTGTTATTTTGAAAGTTTCAAACAAATAAAATTGAACTATTTATTAAATAATTATAATCGTTCTCTTCTGATTTAAAACAACCTGGTTCGTAATTACGAATGGATTGGTTTAAACCACGCCCAATTAAAGTTTGTTTCTTTTTCTCTGATCAGAATATAATTTGTCACCCTTGTCTCCAGCCTTACTTACTTGATTCTATACAGTCTGTATAATAAAAATATTAAAATAAATTTTATCTAGGTACTCCTACATTGACGAGCTTTAACTTTATGGCGTTTTATTGACGGGCTGAAATTAACAACACTGCCGTGATTAATGAAAACGCCGTAACCAACAATTTTGCGATTTTTGTTTTACGGCATTTTCTACTAGAACAATTCATCCTGTGTCTATCCCCGGTACTCAAAAAACCGTATATATATATAGATACGGTTTTTTGAGTACCGGGGATAGACGCAGGATGAATTGTTCTAGTAGAAAATGCCGTAAAACAAAAATCGCACAATTGTTGGTTACGGCGTTTTCATTAAGCACGGCAGAACAGTGGCTTTTCGACATTTTACGTCACGGGCTGAAGTTAGCTTTATTATAAATTGGGAAAAAGTGAGGTTAAATTCGGGTGACAGTTGACAGATGTCAAAATTTTAACAAATAAAATTGGCTTTAAATTCTGTTTTGTGTTCGTCGTAGATAAAGTATAGTATGCAACTCGTTTATAAACTTCTCTAGACACTCGTTTTTATTAATTCGTTTAACAAAATTGACTTAGTAGTATTTTTTTAAGAAAATTAAATGCTCTACAAAAAAGGTTAAAATGAAATTTTCCGTCAGATGAACCGTTTCCTTAAAATCATACCTTAAAAATTGGTATAGTTTTACATTTTGATCTTTTAAATTGGAATTTTGTAATTCATGTAAAAATCAGTACCCATAAAACCCGATAAATATTCTTATAGGAAATCAAATGCTTTACAAAAAAAGCCTCTTAACATTTTTGGCTAAATTCACTCAATCAAAAGTTATTCAAGGTTAAAATTTCGTTTTGACTTCAAATTTAACCTTGAATAACTTTTTATGGAGTGAATTTAGCCAAAAATGATAAAAGATTTTTTTTGTAGACCATTTGATTTCCCATAAGAATATTTATCGTTTTTTTTTCAGGGTACTGATTTTTACTTGAATTACAAAATTCCAAAGTTAAAAGATCAAATTGTAAAACTATACCAATTTTTAAGGCATGATTGTAAGAACAGGGTTCATCTGTCGGAAAATTCCAATCAAACCTTTTTTGTAGAGCATTCAATTTTCTTCAAAAAATACATTTAAGTCAATTTTGTTAAACTCAATAATATGGGAGTTCTGAGACAAAAACTCGCTCAGGGAAAAAAAATCTAAAATTGCGATGATAGACCTCTTAATATTAATATTATGAACTCAAACTTTCACCATAATTTTTTTTTGTCACCCCAAACAATATTTTCGATATACTTTCCAAAAAAAAAAAATAGTCGATTTTTTTGGCCCAGTCTAATGTACATACTAATAATTTCAATAATTATAATTATATATATACCTAAATAGAAGATCAAAACTCAAATCTAATACCCAATATGCATTTAAACTACTGCAGTTGCCACTTTCTGCCGCATTCCCAAAGCGCCAAATTACTTTTATGTTTATACATAAATGTGTTAGTAATTGTATATGTACATATAAAATTAATTCAATAATGTGTACACTGTACACATTAATTGTAAAATAAAAATTATTGTCGTGTCGTAAATAAGAAATTACAACTGAAAAAAAAATGGAATAAAATACAATACAATTTTTAAAACATTTACGATTAAAAAGTGCCATTCTAAAATTATATATTCATTAGATAAAAAATATCATAAAAGTATTTTTATTCTGCGAATTAAAAAATCATAGTAGATATATCTATCTAATATATTTAAAAATTAAATTTAACTTTTATACCAAACTGATATTTTTAATTTTTAGTTGAACACATTTTATTAATAAAAATAGAACTAACCATATATTAATCGATACCCATGTTTTTTAATGTTATTATAAAACAAACCACACTTCCTTTACATTCGCAGAAAACCCCGATAAATCTTTTAATATCAATTTCACGAAAAATTGATAAACGTGACAACGTAGCCAAGTACTTTACCTGTCTCACCACAATTCAGAGATAAAGAAGGTCTCACCACAAGTCATTGTGTGTCTCAATATATTTTCCATACATCTCACTAAAATTTGTAGTGGGGTGTAGTCACTAACTTAATCTATGCGAGAAATACAAAATGCAATAATTATGGTTTCTTTGTGATATTCAAACGATTTTTGTGCCAAATTAAACTTGAAACATGAAGGATAACGACGACCATTCAGAAATAAAACACATGTAAGTTTTTAAGTGAATAATTCTGAGAATGTTATAATGAGGTTATGTTTATTTTTTGTTATTCCTAACTACCTGTTGACTACCATTGGGAATTTTCATTTGTAATCTAGATAATTATAGAGTTTCTAAATAATTACAAGGTTATTTCACAACAATAATGGTAATAATTTAATTATAGCAGGTGTGTTTGTTTGTATAACGATTAAATTAAATGATTTCAGCTCCAAAATCAACCTCAAAAAGTTTTAAAGCCGACAAAATCAATTCGAATTGCTCCAACACGCATGTTAAATTTTAATTAAATAAAACATTTTATCCTGTTCAAATGCACATTGATTTTGGTGAGGAATTTAGACGAAATAAATTATTTATTGTCCAAAAGTTCTGATGAATACCAATCTGACATCTGTCAAACGGGCTGAAGTTAGCTTTAAGTTAGTTGACAGTTGTCAAATGTCGTAAAATTGTCAAAATTCTTGTGAAATAATGGTAAAAGTGAAAATTATTTTATTATCTTCTTACAAAAATATAAAATTATTAAATAGTTTTATGGTTGGACGGTTGCAACTACATTTTTCAGGAAGATATTTCAATTGACAAACTTGACAAACACTGCTATTTGAAAAGCCGGTAAAGCAGATTCCTAAAATCAATTTGGTTACTCTATTTTCGTATAGATGTCGGTCAATACAATATTTAAACTAATTATTAGAAATAAATTGTTTTTTGTAATAATATTTGCCGTAGAAAAAGTAGTGCCTAGTTAAAATTCGTGACCAAACTAGGTGACTAGGTTTAACATGCAAAAACAAATAAATTAATCCCTTAAATGATTGTCCAAGGTGTCAAAATGACCCGTAAATTTAAAATTTGTTTTTCCTATATTTTTGACCCAGTTTCCATAACATTCTCGACGATTTTTGCACCGCATGACCCACGATTGATCGGTTGTAAATTATTGATGCTTAAAAATTTTTAATAAAACAACATTTTTCTCCTGGAATTTCGTCTTTTTCTTGACGATTCCGACAAGCGAGCGTCATAAACAAATGAAAGGGGAACTTTTGGACGTTGCTAGGCCTTCTGGGAACGTTTCGGTGTAAGGTGTAAAGTTTTGAGTTGGGGGCGAATTTCAGAAGTTTCATTATATCTCCAGTTCGCCCTAAAAAGCGTTCATTTAGTTCGACAGAACTAAATGGGAACCCTTTGTGTCGAATATGGCAAATTTATTGCGTTGTTTAGCAAACAAATTAATCAAATGGAGTTTTTGTTTTCATATTTGCTGAAAAATCGCCAATCGTTTCAAAAACAGCAAACAAAAGCGACTATTAATTAATTAAAAGTAAATATTGTCAATAATTTAAAATTATGGATTTATGAATCGTATTTTTAGGTTTTCAAATGAGTTTTTTTTACATTTTAAATACACATTTATAAGTATATAGTTTAGCAACAGGTTTGGCAGACCAAAATACATAAAAAAAATCGAATTTACATTTTCACTGTGATCCTCTGTAACAAATGCACAATAATTAAAAATTAAAGCCAAAATAAGAAAAACGTTTTACCTATATGAGTAAAAATAATGTTCGAGAAAAACTTATGTTGCGTGATGAAAATTTTAACGCCTTATCGATTTTCCTTCCGAATACATTACCAAGGATTGAGATATCAACCGTGTTTGAACACGTGACCTTTTTACCACTTTAAATATTAAGTTTGTATGAAAAAAAAAACGTTAATGTTTTATGAAAAAACGCATTTTTGGTTTGTTATTCTTTGGGTTACGATTTTACAATGCCTTCATCCATTCCTGTTGTTGTTTTTCCTGTGCTATCTATTTTGAGTGTAATCTATTTTCTAAATTTTGCATATTGAAAGATGTAGGGTTTTTTATTAAAAATTAGATATTCTTTGGTTGGTCTTCTTAGGAAGAAACAATGCCTTTATCTTTTCCTGATGTCATTTTTCGTATGCTATCTATATTGCATACTTTCAGTTTTTCAGATAATAAACTATTGAAGTTTTGGGGTTTTCCATAGAAAATTTGATTTTCTTTTGGTTACAGTCTTAGGAAGAAACCATGCCATCATCCATCCCTGATGTTGTTTTTTCTGTGCTATATAGTTTAAATACATTTGGTTTTTTAAATTATGAATTTTCCGTAATATTCTATGATTGGTCTTCTTGAGAAGAAATAATGCCTTCATTATTGTTCCGTGTACTTTTTCCTATGCCATCTATATTTCAGTTTCCAAAATTCCAAATTATAGATGTATATATCATCTATAGACATTATCTAGTTGTTCTTTTTAGGAAGAATATGTCCTTTATTATATAATTGTAATTTTTACATTTGATAAATTTGCGGGAATACTAAATTAAACAGGCTTAATTTAATTTAAAATTTACAGAATTGAGGTAGATAAAACACAAGGCAGTCGAGTTAGGTAAAGTAATAATCATAATATGTGGATATTACTTTCTCTGGAGGTTAAATAGCGAATTCCAGTTTGAGTTATTTTCATTTTGCTCGGGAAAATAAACAATTTAATTTATTTACTCGGTTTTCGGAGAGGCCCGAAAATGTAATTTGCAACTGCCGTGCCAAATCGAATTTTCCGGCGGTAATACGGGTTAATAATACAAAAACCAACTAGTTTTAAAACCGCAACGAGAAGAAGCAAAAAATATAAACCATATTTTTGCATTTATAAATATAAATTTATAAGCGAGAAGCTCGCAAATCCTCTTTTTTCGTTGTTTTCGCCCATTCAGCGAGAACTTTATTCTAATGAATTCGATCCAAACGACTGCTTTTGTTTTTGTTGCCGTTAAATGTCAGCAATTAAAGTTTCCAAAGTATTCAGACCAAGTAAATGTCTTTCATTAATTCTAATGCTAAAACTTTGCGAGCTCCAAAAAACGCATTAAGTAGTTCATTTAAATTATCCTCGCCTTCATAACCAATAAAATTATTGAACCCGGATGTCCGGAAGCCACCACCACGACACGTCCGGCCGGACAAACAACTATCAAGATTACATGCACTTAAACACGCGATGTTACTAGAGCAAAAAGTTTTTCAAAGGACGTTATGGTGCCTTCAAGGGCTTTTAAATGAAAATTCCTGATGTTGTTTTTTCCACGCTATCCAGTTTGAATACGTTCGACTTTTTAAATTGTGGATTTTAGAAAATTTAGAGGTTTCCATTGAAAACTAGTTATTTTTTGGTTGGTCTTCTTAGGAAGAAACCATGCCTTCTTCCATCCCTGATTTTATTTTTCCTATGCTATCTACTTTGAAAACATTCGATTTTCCAAATTCTGGATATTAAAAGATTTACTGTTTTCCAGGGAAAACTAGAGATTTTTTGGTTAGTCTTCTTATGAAGTAAGAATGCCTTCATCAATTCCCGATGTTATTTTTCCTATGCTATCTACTTTGAAAACATTCGATTTCCCAAATTCTGGATATTGAAAGATTTAGTGTTTTCCAGTGAAAACTAGAGACTCTTTGGTTAGTCTTCTTATGAAGTAAGAATGCCTTCATCCATTCCCGATGTTATTTTTCCTATGCTATCTACTTTGAAAACATTCGATTTTCCAAATTCTGGATATTAAAAGATTTAGTGTTTTCTATTTAAAACTAGAGTCTCTTTGGCTGGTCTTCTTAGGAAGTAAGAATGTCTTCATCCATCCCTGATGTTATTTTTCCTATGCCATCTACTTTGAATACATTCGATTTTCCAAATTCTGGATTTTAGAAGATTTAGTGTTTTCTATTAAAAATTATATACTCTTTGGTTGGTTTTCTTAGGAAGAAACAATGCCTTTATCCATCCCTGATGTTATTTTTCCTATTCTATATACTTTAATTACATCCGAACACATATGATTCTCCAATTTCTGGATTTTTAAAGATTTAGTGTTTTCTTTTAAAAACTCTTTTGATGGTCTTTTTAGGAAGAAGCAATACCTTCATCTATCCCTGATGTTATTTTTCCTGTGCCATCTACTTTGAAAACATTCGACTTTCCAAATTCTGGATATTAAAATATTTAGGGTTTTCCATTAAAAATTAGAGATTTATTTGTTGATCTTCCTAGGAAGTAACAATGCCTTCATCCATCCCTGATTTTATTTTTAAAAACATTCGATTTTCCAAATTCTGGATTTTAAAAGATTTAGTGTTTTCCAATGAAAACTAGACTTTCTTTGGCTGGTCTTCTTAGGAAGAAAGAATGTCTTCATCCATCCCTGATGTTGTTTTTCTCATACTGTCCACTTTGAATACATTCTTTTTAAATTCTGGATTTTAGAAAATTTAGAGGTTTCCATTGAAAACTAGATACTCTTTGGTTGGTTTTCTTAGGAAGAATTAGAAGATTTAGTGTTTTCCATTGAAAATTAGAGATTTATTTGTTGATCTTCTTAAGAAGTAACAATGCCTGTATCCATCCCTGATGTTATTTTTCATACTTAAAATACATTCGATTTTCCAAATTATGGATATTAAAAGATTTAAAAATGCTTTTTCATATTATAACGAATTTTTCTTTTTATTAAGGCGCGCATCACCACAGCCCACTCAGCAACCTCAGCAAATCATAGAACAACGCCAAACACCGACCCCACAACCTCAGCTAAATAGATCATCAACCCCTGTCAGTTATGAGCCTCAAGAGCAACAACAAGTTCCGCAAAGAGCGGAGATGCCCGAGAGCAAGCCTTCAACACCTCCAGCTGCAAAACAAGTAACAAAACCATAAGCAATTCCAATTACTATTATTAATAACATTTTTTTCGTCAGCCGATTCAAACGCAAATCACTCCTCCTCAAGGGAGGCCTCAACAAAGCCATCAAAGGGCCGTTTCCATGCCTGATGCGCCCACTCCTGAACGCACAAGACCTCAGCAAAGGATACAGTACTCGCAAAGCGAAAGGGTGCCGAACAGACAGAGACCACCATTGAACAGATCGATGAGCAAAAAGGAGATCATCAAAAATTACATTAGAAAAGAGACGGCCAATTTCTTCGGCGTGGACGAGGAGCACGAAGAAGAGCAGCAGTCCAGATGGCTGGATCGGAGAAAAAGGATGGCATGCAGGTAAATATCACTGAAGTTTCCAGCATTTGGAGTTTGAAAGATTTAGGGCTTTAAGGAAAAAAGAAAATATTCTTTGTATTACGATTTAAGGAAGAAACATTGCCTTCATCCATCCCTGATGTTGTTTTTCCTATGCTATCTACATTGCATACTTTCAGTTCTTCAGATAATAAACTATTGATGTATCAGGGTTTTCCATAGAAAATTAGATTTTCTTCTGGTTACTATCTTAGGAAGAAACCATGCCATCATCCATCCCTGATGTTGTTTTTCCTATGCTATCTATTTTTAATGCAATCTATTTTCTAAATTCTGGATATTGCAAGATTTATTGTTTTTTATTAAAAATTAGATATTCTTTGGTTGGTCTTCTTAGGAAGAATCAATGCCTTTATCTTTTCCTGATGTCATTTTTTCTATGCTATCTATATTGCATACTTAAAGTTGTTCATATAATAAACTATTGAAATTTTAGGGTTTTTCATAGAAAATTAGATTCTCCTTAGGTTACTATCTTAGGAAGAAACCATGCCATCATTCATACCTGATGTTGTTTATCCTATGCTATCTATTTTCTAAATTCTGGATATTGCAAGATTTATGGTTTTTTATTAAAAATTAGATATTCCTTGGTTATTCTTCTTAGGAAGAAACAATGCATTTATCTTTTCCTGAGTTAATTTTTTCTATGCTATCTATATTGCATACTTTCAGTTTTTTAGATAAAATACTATTACAGTTTTAGGGTTTTCCATTGAAAATTTAATTTTCTTTTGGTTACGATTTTAGGAAGAAACAATGCCATCATCCAACCCTGATGTTGTTTTTTCTATGCTATCTATTTTTAATGCAATCTATTTTCTAAATTCTGGATATTGCAAGATTTATGGATTTTTATTAAAAATTAGATATTCTTTGGTTGGTCTTCTTAGGAAGAAACAATGCCTTTATCTTTTCCTGATGTCATTTTTTCTATGCTATCTATATTGCATACTCTCAGTTTTTTATATAATAAACTATTGAAGTTTTAGGGTTTTTCATTGAAAATTTAATTTTCTTTTGGTTACGATTTTAGGAAGATACAATGCCATCATCCAACCCTGATGTTGTTTTTTCTATGCTATTTATTTTGAATGCAATCTATTTTCTAAATTTTGGATACTGCAAGATTTATGGTTTTTTATTAAAAATTAGATATTCTTTGGTTGGTCTTCTTAGGAAGAAACAATGCCTTTATCTTTTCCTGATGTCATTTTTTCTATGCTATCTATATTGCATACTTTCAGTTTTTTAGATAATAAACTATTGAAGTTTTAGGGTTTTCCATTGAAAATTTGATTTTCTTTTGGTTACGATTTTAGGAAGAAACAATGCCATCATCCAACCCTGATGTTGTTTTTTCTATGCTATTTATTTTGAATGCAATCTATTTTCTAAATTCTGGATATTGGAAGATTTAGGGTTTTTTATTTAAAATTAAATACTCTTTGGTTGGTCTTCTTAGGAAGATACAATGCCTTCATCCATCCTATGCTATCTACTTTAAATGAATTCTATTTTTCCAATTCTGTTCCATTTAAAATGAGTTATTCTTTGGTTGGTATTCTTAGGAAGAAACAATGTCTTAATAATTCCCTGATGCCATTTTTTATTTGCTATCTGTATTGCATACATTCCGTTTTCCAAATTCTCAGCTATAGAAGATTTAGGGTCATCCACAAAAAATTTAACATTTTTTGGGTGATTTTCGTAGGAAGAATTGGTGACTTCCATAACCTCTGATGTTATTTGGAACAATCTCAATAAGTGTAATATAGAAAAATACAATTTCTTTAAAATTGTCTATCTTAGGATGCATCTATATCCTGGTACCATCGTATATAAATAACATATTTTTCAGGACCCTTGGACCTCTCAAAGACGAATTTAGAAACAATATGAACGATAGGACGCATAGGCGCACCATTTCCGATAGAGTAACGTCGGAAAGAATCTCGGGACAATTGGTGGCCGAAAGACCCGACGTTTTGCCCGGACCAAGCGACGCCACTGACGGCTTCGATCGACATGCTACAGGGTTGAGAAGAAAAGACTCTGTGGCCAGAATGACGTTGGATGGACTCTCCTATGTCGTTACGGTAAGTATTTTCTATTTCCTTTCAGAGTTGTTTGTAATACATAAAAGAATATGGATTCTAAGTAAGTAGACAAGGGGGTCGTAAAAACGCGAATTTATTATATTTAGGCATGCCACGAACAAATAATAAAATCCGGGCGGAATATTTATATAACATACAACAAAACGGGGTGGAAACCAAGACGACAAAACTATTAATTTACAATTTGCCTTGCTTTTGATTAAACTTATGTTCCTGGAAAGTTGCGAGTTCGTCTTCGGGGAGCTGTAAATTCGTTTTAAACCCCGGGACGATCTTTAGGCTTTCCGAGGACATTTATACAGTTCTCCGCATAAAGTAATATCATCCAGGCCACCGCAACAACAGTGGAGCAAATTTACAGTTTTACAATTTAAAATATATAGAAGATTTGGGAATAACATTATAAATTAGACACTCTTTGGTTGTTTTTTTTATGGAAGAAACAATGTCTTTATCTTTCCATGATGCCATTTTAGCTATCTATATTGCATACTTTCAGTTTTTCAGATAATAAACTATTGAAGTTTTAGGGTTTTCCATAGAAAATTAAATTTTCTTTTGGTTACGATTTTAGGAAGAAACAATGCCATCATCCTTCTCTGATGTTGTTTTCCCATGATATCTATTTTGAATGCAATATATATTCCACATTTTGTATATTGAAAGATGTAGGGTTTTTTATTAAAAATTAAATATTCTCTGGTTAGTCTTCTTAGGAAGAAACAATGCCTTTATATTTCCCTGATGTCAATTTTCCTATGCTATCTATATTGCATACTTTCAGTTTTTCAGATAATAAACTATTGAAGGTTTAGGGTTTTCTATAGAAAATTAGATTTTCTTTTGGTTACGATTTTAGGAAGAAACAATGCCATCATACATCCCTGATGTTGTTTTTCCTGTGCCATCTATTTTGAATGTAATCTATTTTCTAAATTCTGGATATTGGAAGGTTCAGGGTTTTTTATTAAAACTTAGATATTCTTTGGTTAGACTTCTTAGGAAGAAACAATGCCTTTATATTTCCCTGATATCTTTTTTCCTATGCTATCTATATCGCATACTTTTAGTTTTTCAGATAATAAACTATTGAAGTTTTAGGGTTTTCTATAGAAAATTTGATTTTCTTTTGGTTACCATCTTAGGAAGATACCATGACATCATCCATCCCTGATGTTGTTTTTCCCATGCTATATATTTTGAGTGCAATATATTTTCTAAATTCTGGATATTGCAAGATTAAAGGTTTTTTATTTTTTTTTAGACTAGTCTTCTTAGGAAGAAATATTGCCTTTATCTTTCCCTGATGTAATTTTTCCTATGCTATCTATATTGCATACTTTCAGTTTTTTAGATAATGGGCTATTAAAGTTTTAAGGTTTTCCATGGAAAATTAGATTTTCTTTTGTTTACTATCTTAGGAAGAAACCAAGCCATCATCTATCCCTGATGTTGTTTTTCCAATGCTATCTATTTTGAGTGTAATCTAATTTCTAAATTTTGCGTATTGAAAGATGTAGGGTTTTTTATTCAAAATTAGATATTCTCTGGTTAGTCTTCTTAGGAAGAAACAATGCCTTTATCTTTCCCTGATGTCTTTTTCCTATGCTATCTATATTGCATACTTTCAGTTATTCAGATAATAAACTATTGAAGTTTTAGGGTTTTCCATGGAAAATTAGATTTTCTTTTGTTTACTATCTTAGGAAGAATCCAAGCCATCATCTATCCCTGATGTTGTTTTTCCAATGCTATCTATTTTGAGTGTAATCTATTTTCTAAATTTTGCGTATTGAAAGATGTAGGGTTTCTTAGTCAAAATTAGATATTCTTTGGTTAGTCTTCTTAGGAAGAAACAATGCCTTTATCTTTCCCTGATGTCATTTTTTCTATGCTATCTATATTACATACTTTCAGTTTTTTAGATAATGGACTATTGAAGTTTTGGGGTTTTCCTATGCTATCTATTTTGCAATATATATATTGCCAGATTTAGGGCTTCAAATAAATAAGTTGTAGGGTTTTCTATTGAAATATAGATATATATTCGCCCTCATGTAATATTTTCATTTAGACTCTGACAAGAAACAGACCACGGCCGAGATCGCAGCAGCAGCAGTGGTCCAGAAGCTTTCCTCCGGACTCCCCGCCAGTCAGCCCGCCTTCCTCCCCGGAAGAGCAGAGCTTCTTCGACAACAACTCGATACCGATGGCGCCGAGAAGTCCGGAACTGGAGGACGCCGTCGACAGGGGGCGCGGCGAAGCTGGACCGATGCAACCCTACCGATCTCCGTCGGAAAGCAGGTTCAGCAGGCCCACTTCCGGCGGGTGGAGGCGCGACACGAACCAGGAAGTGGTGCTGAGGCACGGAGACAACAGAACCAGCGTCGGAGGTACACGGATATACTCCAGCATGTTGGATCATGTGCTGGATAACTCGGATAGGCGGCAGTATGGAATGGGATGGGTCGGAAGGATGTTTGGGTAAGATCATTTAATTTAAATACATTTGATCTTCAAATTCTAAGTTTTAGAGCTTCTTTGGTTGGTCTTCTTAGGAAGAAACAATGCCTTTATCATTCCCTAATTTGAATTTTCCTATCTATATTGCATACTTCCAGTTTTTTAAATTCCAATATATCAAAGATTTAGGGTTATTTATGGAAAATTTATCATTCTTTTGGTGATTTTCTTTGGAAGACACAGTTCCTTCATCCATCCATGATGTAATTTTTCCTATGCTATTTAAATTACATACATTTGATCTTCAAATTCTAGATTTTAGAAGATTTTGTGTTTTACAATAAAAATTAGGGATTCTTTGGTTGGTCTTCTTAGGAAGAAACAATGCTTTTATCATTTCCCAATGTCAATTTTTCTATGCTATCTATATTGCATACTTCCAGTTATTTTAAATTACAATATATCAAAGATTTAGGGTTATTTATGGAAAATTTAACATTCTTTTGGTGATTTTCTTTGGAAGACACAGTTCCTTCATCCATCCATGATGTAATTTTTCCTATGCTATTTAATTTACATACTTTTTATCTTCAAATTCTAGATTTTAGAAGATTTTGTGTTTCCAATAATAATTAGGGATTTTTTGGTTGGTCTTCTTAGGAAGAAACAATGCTTTTATCATTTCCCAATGTCAATTTTTCTATGCTATCTATATTGCATACTTCCAGTTATTTTAAATTACAATGTATCAAAAATTTATGGGTATTTAGGGAAAATTTAACATTCTTTGGGTGATTTTCTTGGGAAGACACAGTTCCTTCATCCATCCACGATGATATTTTTCCTATGCTATTTAATTTACAAACATTTGATCTTCAAATTCTAGATTTTAGAAGATTTTGTGTTTTCCAAAAAAAATTAGAGATTCTTTGTTTGGTCTTCTTAGTAAGAAACAATATCATTTCCTAATGTCAATTTTCCTATGCTATCTATTTTGCATACTTCCAGTTTTTTCAAATACCAATATATCAAAGATTTAGGGTTATTTATGAAAAATTTAACATTCTTTGGGCGATTTTCTTGGGAAGACACAGTTTTTTCATCCATCCATTATGATATTTTTCCTTTGCTATTTAATTTACATACATTTGATCTTCAAATTCTAGATTTTAGAAGATTTTGTGTTTTCCAATAAAAATGAGGGATTCTTTGGTTGGTCTTCTTAGGAAGAAACGATGCTTTTATCATTTCCTAATGTCAATTTTTCTATGCTATCTATATTGCATACTTCCAGTTATTTTAAATTACAATGTATCAAAGATTTAGGGGTATTTAGGGAAAATTTAACATTCTTTGGGCGATTTTCTTGGGAAGACACAGTTCCTTCATCCATCCATGATGATATTTTTCCTTTGCTATTTAAATTACATACATTTGATCTTTAAATTCTAGATTTTAGAAGATTTTATGTTTTCCAAAAAAAATTAGAGATTCTTTGTTTGGTCTTCTTAGTAAGAAACAATGCCTTTATCATTCCCTAATGTCAAATTTCCTATGCTATCTATTTTGCATACTTCCAGTTTTTTCAAATACCAATATATCAAAGATTTAGGGTTATTTATGGAAAATTTTACATTCTTTTGGTGATTTTTTTTGGAAGACACAGTTCCTTCATCCATCCATGATGTAATTTTTCCTATGCTATTTAATTTACATAAATTTGATCTTCAAATTCTAGATTTTAGAAGATTTTGTGTTTTCCAATAAAAATTAGGGATTCTTTGGTTGGTCTTCTTAGGAAGAAACAATGCTTTTATCATTTCCTAATGTCAATTTTCCTATGCTATCTATATTGCATGCTTCCAGTTATTTTAAATTTCAATGTATCAAAGATTTAGGGGTATTTAGGGAAAATTTAACATTTTTTAGGAAAGACACAATTCCTTCATTCATCAATGTTGATGTTTTTTTCCATGCTATTTATTTTACATACATTCGCTTTTAAAATTCTAGATTTTTAGTAGATTTTGGGATTTCCAATAAAAATTATAGATTCTTTGGTTGGCCTTCTTAGGAAGAAACAATGCCTTTATCATTCCTTGATGTCAATTTTCCTATGCTTTCTAAATTGCATACTTCCAGTTTTTTTAAATTCCAATATATCAAAGATTTGGGGGTATTTAGGGAAAATTTAACATTCTTTGGGTGATTTTCTTGGGGAGACACAATTCCTTTATCTATCAATGTTGATATTTTTCCCATGCTATTTATTTTACATACATTCGCTTTTTAAATTCTAGATTTTAGAAGATTTTGAGTTTTCCAATAAAAAATAGGGATTCTTTGGATGGTCTTCTTAGGAAGAAACAATGCCTTTATCATTCCCTGATGTCAATTTTCCTATGCTATCTATATTGCATACTTCCAGTTATTTTAAATTACAATGTATTAAAGATTTAGGGGTATTTAGGGAAAATTTAACATTTTTTAGGTAATTTTCTTGAGAAGACACAGTTTTTTCATCCATCCATGATGATATTATTCCTATGCTATTTAAATTACATACATTTGATCTTCAAATTCTAGATTTTAGAAGATTTTGTGTTTTCCAATAAAAATTAGGGATTCTTTGGTTGGTCTTCTTAGGAAGAAACAATGCTTTTATCATTTCCTAATGTCAATTTTCCTATGCTATCTATTTTGCATACTTCCAGTTTTTTCAAATACCAATATATCAAAGATTTAGGGTTATTTATGGAAAATTTAACATTCTTTGGGTGATTTCCTTGGGAAGACACAGTTCCTTCATCCATCCACGATGATATATTTCCCATGCTATTTAATTTACATAGGTACATTTTTAATGCCATGATGTTCTATTTTGAACCTTTTCAGGCGTTCTATGCGCAGATCCGTCGCCGCAGACAGAAAAATTCAGGAACAACTCGACGATTTGGAAGATCACCGGCCGATGTTCACGTATTGGGTGACCACGGTGCAAGTGCTCGTGCTTCTGATCTCCATCATTTGTTACGGCATCGGGCCGTTCGGAGTGAACCTGCAGTCCCGCTCGGGGCAAATCTTGGTCACCAGCTTGTCCTTGCAGCAAGTGGACTTCATGGAGCCGGCGAACTTCTGGGTGGGCCCCAGGGCGGCCGACTTGATACATCTGGGCGCCAAGTTCGCGCCCTGCATGCGGGTGGACGACAAAGTTTCGCAGCAAATCGACAAAATACGAGCCAAAGAACGGGAGACTGCGTGCTGCATTAGAAACGACGATTCGGGGTGCGTCCAGTCAACGCAATCCGATTGTTCGGTAAGTATTTATTTCGTTGAGTATTTTAGGGTTTCGTGCTAATGAAAACTCGTTTGTTTTAATGCTTAAGGTGAGAGGATTGAGGCCTACGGTACGTATACAGTAATATATGGATGTTTAATGTAGATATTTATGATTTTTATTTGTTTTTTTTTTCATAATTTGTACGATTTTAGAAGATGTTGGGTTTTTAAATAAAAAATAGAGATTCTTTGGTTGGTCTTCTTAGGAAGAAACAATGCCTTTATCATTTCCTAATGTCAATTTTTCTATGCTATCTATATTGCATACTTCCAGTTTTTTCAAATTACAATATATCGAAGATTTGGGGTTATTTATGAAAAATTTAACATTCTTTGGATGATTTTCTCGGGAAGACACAGTTTTTTCATCCATCCATGATGATATTTTTCCCATGCTATTTAATTTACATACATTTGATCTTCAAATTCTAGATTTTAGAAGATTTTGTGTTTTCCAATAAAAATTAGGGATTCTTTGGTTGGTCTTCTTAGGAAGAAACGATGCCTTTATCATTCCCTAATGTCAATTTTCCTATGCTATCTATATTGCATACATCCAGTTTTTTTCAAATTCCAATAAATCAAAAATTTAGGGTTATTTATGGAAAATTTAACTTTCTTTGGGTGATTTTCTTGGAAAAACATAGTTTCTTCATGCATCCCTGATGATATTTTTCCTATGCTATTTAATTTACATACATTCAATCTTCCAATTCTAGATTTTAGAAGATTTTGGCATTATCATTTAAAATTAGAGATTCTTTGGTTGGTCTTCTTAGAAAGAAACAATGCCTTTATTATTCCCTAATGTCAATTTCCTATGCTATCTATATTGCATACTTCCAGTTTTTTCAAATTCCAATATATCAAAAATTTAGGGTTATTTTTGGAAAATTTAACATTCTTTGGGTGATTTTCTTAGGAAGACACAGTTTCTTTATGCATCCATGATGATATTTTTCCTATGCTATTTAATTTACATACATTCAATCTTCCAATTCTAGATTTTAGAAGATTTTGGCATCATCATTTAAAATTACAGATTCTTTGGTTAGTCTTCTTAGGAAGAAACAATGCCTTTATCATTCCCTAATGTCAATTTTCCTATGCTATTTATATTGCATACTTCCAGTTTTTCCAAATTCCAATATAACGAAGATTTGGGGTTATTTACGAAACATTTAACATTCTTTGGGTGATTTTCTTGGGAAGACACAGTTCCTTCGTCCATCCATGATGATATTTTTCCTATGCTATTTAATTTACTTACATTCAATCTTCCAATTCTAGATTTTAGAAGATTTTGGCATTATCATTTAAAATTAGAGATTCTTTGGTTGGTCTTCTTAGGAAGAAACAATGCCTTTAACATTCCTTAATGTCAATTTTCCTATGCTATCTATATTGTATACTTCAGTTTTTTCAAATTCCAATATATCAAAGATTAAGGGTTATTTATAAAATATTTAACATTCTTTGGGTGATTTTCCAAGATTTTCTATTAAAAATCAATGCATTCACAGGTTTTGGTTTTATTTGAAAATTATTTTGGTCATTATTTTTTATATTTAGTATGTAGCACCCCGGTTTAAATATGAATAAATGCTTGACCGTTTCCAGAAAACGATATCGACATTCAAGAAGTGGACGGCTGGTGAAGCCGGACCTGGCGGCAGAATATCGGGCTCTGTATGCGGCCTCGACCCTAAGTAAGCCCAGAAAAATAATAAAAAAACATTCTAAAACAACTGATTTTAGATTTTGTGACGCCCCTGCCAGTGTCCACCCCTACGAATGGCCGGACGACATCACGAAGTGGCCGATATGCAGGAAAACCAACACCCAGTTTTCCACCCAAAAGAAGGCGCCGAGAGACAAACTCGCGGAGCACATGGTATGCGAGATAATCGGACATCCGTGTTGCATCGGAATACACGGCCAATGCAAAATCACCACCAAAGAATACTGCGACTTCGTTATGGGAACTTTCCACGAAGAAGCCTCCCTCTGCTCACAGGTAAAAAAATATTCGTCAAAGACAAAGTTATAACACAAAAATCTTAGGTTTCCTGCCTGAACGACGTGTGTGGGATGCTGCCGTTCTACTTTCCGGACGTCCCCGATCAATTTTACCGGCTGTGGACCTCGCTGTTCCTGCACGCCGGAATTTTGCAGCTGGTCATCACGGTTTTGCTGCAGGTTTTCTTGATGCGCGATTTGGAGAAATTGACCGGAAGTCTGCGTATCGGCATCGTTTACATCGGGTCCGGAGTGGCCGGCAACCTCGCCTCCGCGATTTTCGTTCCCTACAGAGCTGATGTAAGTAGATAAATACTTAATAAATAGAAGATTTTGAGGTTTCCATTGAAAACTTAAGACTTTTTCGTTGGTCTTCTTATAAAGAAACATCACATTTATCATTCCCTAAAGTTTTTTTTTCTATGATAAATACATCAGATTTTCCAAATTCTGGATCTTGAAGATTTAGGGCTTTTTATTGAAAACTAGAGACTCTTTGGTTGGTCTTCTCAGGAAGAAACATTGCCTTTATCATTTCCTGATGCCATTTTTCCCATGCTATCTATATTGCATACTTTCAGTTTTCCATATTCTCAAATACAGAAGTTGGACAGTTTTAAAATAAAAATTATTTATTGTGAAGAAACAATGCCTTTATTCACCCCTGAAGTTGTTTTTTCTTTGACATTTACTTTAAAAACATTCGATTTTCGAAATTCTGGATTTTAGAAGATTTAGGGCTTTCCATTGAAAACTAGAGACTCTTTGGTAGATCATCTTAGGAAGAAACATTGCCTTTATCATTCCCTGATGCCATTTTTCCCATGCTATCTATATTGCATACTTCCAGTTTTTCAAATTCCAATATATCGAAGATTTGGGGTTATTTATGAAAAATTTAACATTCTTTGGATGATTTTCTCGGGAAGACACAAGTCCTTCATCCATCCAAGATGAAATTTTTCCTATGCTACTTAATTTACATACATTTGATATTCAAATTCTAGATTTTATAAGATTTTGTATTTTCCAATAAAAATTTGAGGTTCTTTGGTTGGTCTTCCTAAGAAGAAACAATGCCTTTTTCATTTTCTAATGTCAATTTTCCTATGCTATCTATATTGCATGCTTCCAGTTTTTTCAAATTCCAATATATTGAAGATTAAGGGTTATTTTTGGAAAATTTAACATTTTTTGGGTGATTTTCTTAGGAAGACACAATTCCTTCATCCATTCATGATGATATGTTTCCAATGTTATTTATTTTACATACATTCAATAGTTTAATTATATATTTTAGAAGATTTTGTGTTTTCCAATAAAAATTACAGATTCTTTGGTTGGTCTTCTTATAAAGAAACAATGCCTTTATGATGCCCTGATGTCAATTTTCCTATGCTATCTATATTGCATGCTTCCAGTTTTTTCAAATTCCAATATATCAAAAATATAGGGTTATTTATGGAAAATTTAACTTTCTTTGGGTGATTTTCTTGGAAAAACACAGTTTCTTCATGCATTCATGATGATATTTCTCCTATGCTATTTAATTTACATACATTCAATTTTCCAATTCTAGATTTTAGAAGATTTTGGCATTATCATTTAAAATTAGAGATTCTTTGGTTGGTCTTCTTAGGAAGAAACAATGTCTTCATCATTTCCTGATGCCATTTTTCCCATGCTATCTATATTGCATACTTTCAGTTTTCCATATTCTCAACTATAGAAGTTGGACAGTTTTCAAATAAAAATTATTTATTAGGAAGAAACAATGCCTTTATTCACCCCTGAAGTTGTTTTTTTTGACATCTACTTTAAAAACATTCGATTTTCCAAATTCTGGATCTTGGAAGATTTCGGGCTTTCCATTGAAAACTAGAGACTCTTTGGTTGGTCTTCTTAGGAAGAAACAATGTCTTCATCATTCCCTGATGCTATTTTTCCTATGCTACATACAATTTCTCTCTTCCAGGTCGGTCCAGCCGGTTCCCAGTTCGGTCTGCTGGCCTGTCTGATAGTGGAGGTGCTGAACGCGTGGCCCATGCTGAAGAAGCCGCGCCAGGCGCTGATGAAGCTGCTCAGCCTGACGGCCTTTCTGTTTCTGTTGGGTTTGCTGCCTTGGGTCGACAACTACGCGCACCTGTTCGGCTTCGTGTTCGGGTTCCTCCTGTCTTACGCGCTGTTGCCGTTCATATCGTTCGGGCGCTACGACAGGCAGAAAAAGGTGTTCCTGATCTGGGTGTGTCTGCTGTCGGCGGGGATCCTGTTCATCACGTTGGTGTTGCTGTTCTACATCATACCGGTTTACGATTGCAAAGTGTGTTCGTATTTTAATTGCATCCCGTTCACCAGGGACTTTTGCGCCAGTCAGAATATTAATTTCAAGAGGGAGGAGCCAGTGGTATGACAAAAATGATGGCGGTTCGCGCCCTACTTTATTCACCAGCGAAATGAAAAAGTGTTTTATAGTTTTGTGATACACAAAGTACTATTGTTAATACAAAAAACCGAAACAGTGTGTTTTAAACATAATATATTTCTTAAAAATCATGTGATAAAAACATTATATATCTGACTATCTATATTAGACTGGGCCAAAAAAATCAACTATTTTTTTCGAAAATATGGTTTGGGGTGACAAAAAAAAATTATTGTGAAAGTTTGAGTCCATAATATTAATATTAAGAGGTCTATCATCGCAATTTTAATTTTTTTTTCCTCAGCAAGTTTTTGTCTCAGAACTCCCAAACCATTGAGTTTAACAAAATTGACTTAAAAATATTTTTTTAAGAAAATTAAATGCTCTACAAAAAAGGTTAAAGTGAAATTTTCAGTCAGATGAACCGTTTTACATTTTGATCTTTTGTAATTCATGTAAAAATCAGTACCCATAAAAAACCGACAAATATTCTTATGGGAAATCAAATGCTTCACAAAAAAAGCCTCTTAACATTATTGGCTAAATACACTCAATCAAAAGTTTAAGGTTAAAGGTTAAAATTTCGTTTTGACTTCAAATTTAACCTTGAATAACTTTTGATGGAGAGAATTTAGCCAAAAATGATAAAAGACTTTTTTTATACAGCATTTGATTTCCCATAAGAATATTTATCGTTTTTTTTCAGGGTACTGATTTTTACTTAAATTACAAAATTCCAATGTTAAAAGATCAAATTGTAAAACTATACCAATTTTTAAGGCGTGATTGTAAGAAAAGGGTTCATCTGACGGGAAATTCCAATCAAACCTTTTTTGTAAAGCAATCAATTTTCTTCAAAAAATATTCTTAAGTCAATTTTGTTAAACTCAATGATTTGGGAGTTCTGAGACAAAAACTCGCTCAGGAAAAAAAAATCTAAAATTGCGATGATAGACCTCTTAATATTAATATTATGGACTTCAACTTTCACCATAATTTTTTATGTCGCCACAAACAATATTTTCAAAAAAAAAAATAGTCGTTATTTTTGGCCCGGTCTAATCTATATTATTTATTAATTATTAAGTATTGTGCAATGAAATATGTTAATTTGTTTTGGCAACGAAACCAGCTACAATGAACTTTGTTTGCTAAAATAATCAGCTATACATTTACATACCCAGTTTAGCCAATATGAAAAATGTAAAATCCCACAAAAATTTCCCTGGGTTTCCCCCAAAATACCTGTATATGTATCTACATAACAATAGTCTTATTTATATGTGCTTAAATTATAAAATTATCAAAAATATTTTCATTATTATAGACACTGTGTATAATATAACAGCATGTATGAATGATTGTAAATATTAAGAAAAAGTCAACCAAAAAAAGGCAGTATGAGTTTGAAAATGGTGTTTAAATTCAACAAATGTTGATTTTTATAAAGTTGAAATTATTGAAAATTAACTCTCTGAATAAAGAAACCTTTATTTCTCTACCATAAAAAATATTTCGATCGTCGATACCCTTTCACAAATGCTTCATAATAATTTAATTTGCTCATCATTGTTTATGAAGCATTCCTGAAATTATTGTTATATAAATTTATCGACTTACCTACCTAATATATATTTATTATAATGTATTACCTGTAACGTCTGTAGTTCTTTTGTGTTTAAAGAAAAAACGTGAAAAATTGTTCATTTAATGATAAATCTTGCCTTTTAATTTGTCTCAAAACTATCAAAGACAAATAAACATCAATTTTATAATGTAGCCATTTATATTTGTGTAGTTATTTAATTTTAAATCTTTGGACTGATATTGATAATATCACTCTGTCGAATACTCTGCAATTGTACAAAAGTTGACCTAAATTTTTTACAAACACAGAAAAGCCCCAAGAATCTTTACACTAATTATATTAACCTTCTTGGTATTTAAACAGACGTTGCTTAAAATCATTACGACTGACTATTAAAAAAAGTATATTACAACAATTGTACAGTTACACTGTAATAATATAACATCAGGTGTTACACTAAGACCAAGCCTTAACATTATAATAATATAATAAAATACTTCTGCACATAAAATGAACTTCCACATCTTTTATTTAAATACCTTAAAATCTCAGGTAAATAAAACAAAAATAACACTTACATAACTATATTTCACTAACATTCACAACGTACAAAGCTAAAAACTTCCTGGGAATGGATCTGCCCTGTTTTTCCTTAAAACAAACTGTATCTTACGATCCATATCTTCATTGTAAATAGCTTTGCATTTCTCGAAATTTATCCTCCTGCGGAACTAAAAAACAACAATTTATTGCTATTCAAACAATAAATTGATATAAATACCTGGTGGGGCTTTTCAAAAAACCTCGTTCTTCTAAATTGGTCCAGAATATCTTCACGGCCCAAAATGCGGTTCAAAGTACGGCAGGCCGCATCCACGTCGTTATTCTGCACGAAAATGGTCCTTGCTATGAATTTTAAGTGCCGCATTATCAATTTTTAAGTGAAATATGTATTTTTCAGAGATAAAGAAGGTTATTTTTGAGGTTATATAGATTTTGACAGTTCAACCGGCGACATCTGCGGGAGTTTTGATGAAGTTTAAGTTCACGTGTTTGTCGATAGGTGGCGGTGTTTGGGGTGACGTTTAGGGACTTTGGTTTTTGCCACTAGGGAAAAAAAGAAAGAAAAAAGAATCGCCTTGTCAAAGTTCTTGACAAATTTATCACGATTTTCTTAATTAAAAATCCAATAGAACAAACCGCGAGCAATATTAAGCGTTAAACAGTGTTCATTCGAGTTCAGTGGTTAGATAATTCGTTAAAATTACGTCGATTTTTCAATGAAGGTTACAACGTGTTTCTAAAATCAATTATCGTCGACTAATAATAATTAACAATGAACAAAAAGAAACACCAAAACGATCCAAACGCGGACGAATCCACCGAATCGTGCGACGAAAACCAAAATACCGTCGAATGTACTCACATCAACAAAGCTGTGGATTTAAACAAAGTCAGAAAAAACATTCTCAGGACCGGATTCACTACCGATTGTGAGGAATGCAAGAAAGTAAACGGTAAGTGCCTTAAAACCACCCCAAAATATCACTTTATGGTCACTTTAGGTTATCTCTGACAAAAAAATTAGCACAAAGCAGATTAAAATACTTTGTTTCTATGTCTACTAACAAAGTCAATCTCCTATATACTGCAAATGATTTTTTTTTTATCAAAAAGTCACATTATTGCACGAAAATTGGCTTAAAACAAATCATGAATCAGGGATACTTAAGTAAAATTTAAGTCCACACTCTATAATAATTATTTAAAAAAAGTATGTAGCTTTTGAAATTTGACATTTCAAACCATGGTCAACCACGCATTAATATACAGTGTGTCCCAAAATCACCAAAAATCTAAAACAAAATTTTCTTTACTTTTTTTTGTAATGCCACCAATTTTGGGACCTCCTTAATGGCGGCCTTAAAAATTAAATAACTCTTGGAATATTGCGAATTCAAAAAAAATGGTGAAGGAAATTTCGTCTTAGATTTTCGCAAGAATGGGGTAGTTAAATTTTTTCTGACCTATACTTTTTATGGTTTTATTCAAGGCGTTTTGTAATATTAAACATTTCTGTGAAATCAGAATTTCAATTGAGTTTACCGTTTTCGAGATATTTACAAAAAATATAAATTTTTATGACGTCACAAACCTCGCCATGTGACCAACATTCTAAGATTTCTATTGGTTGAAAATTACCCTGTTGCCAAGTTGTCTTGTTAATGATTTCATTCGGTTATGTCAGAAAATACTTGAAGAGGTTATGTACAAATACTGTCACTGTCAGTTGAGTGAAAGATGGTCACCAAATTCATTAAGTACCTATCTTCCTTATTACGAGGTATCATATTACTGTTTGATATTTAAGAGTCCAAGATATATCTAAAAGAATATAAAGAAATGGGCATTATACTAATGAAATGCATTTACGACAAAATATGATTATAATTATAGGTACTTACTTTATTTGTTTAAAAGCTCCAATGTTCAATGTAACCAACCATTCCACAAGATTCCTCTGCTTTGGAGTCCGTTATTAATAAATCACTTATCTAATATCAATTACAAATAACATTGATTTTCAATAATCTAAATTTAAAAAAAAACATAACCCGAAAAAACGAAACGTCAAAAAATCAATTCTTCTTCTTCTCAACTAAAATTATAGATCAAGTGGTTTTAAAACTAAAATATTGTAACGTGGCGCCATCTATCGTAAGAATCTTAAACTAAACACACTGGCAACCATAGAAAAAGCTGGCAACGTTGTCAATAGCCTAGTGACGTAATTAGGAGATTTTTTTTTGTAAATATCTCGAAAACTGTAAAGTCGATTGAAATTCCGATTTCACGGAAATGTTTAAAATTACAAAACGCCTTGAATAAAGCCATAAAAAGTATAGGTCAGAAAAAATTTAACCACCCCATTACCGATGTCTGTTGCAGATGATGCCGACATGAACGGCGACATCGAGTTCGACATGTCGCTGTGGCTGTGCCTGAAGTGCGGCAACCAGGCGTGCGGCAGGGGCAAGAACAAGCATGCTATCAAGCATTACAACACCCCGCATTCGGAGTCTCACGCCATTTGCGTCAACACGACCATTTGGTCGGTGTGGTGTTACGATTGCGACGACGAGGTCAACATAACCTGCAAAAAGAAACTGCTCGACGCAGTGGAAATTCTTAGGAAGCAATGCGAGTCCTGCAAGCCCAAGCAAATGCTCAGTATGCCCTCGATAACGGATAGGGTGAGTATTTTCGTCATTTTATAAAAACCGCAAGTTCATCAATTTTACACATATATTTATAGAGTATCCCAAAGGGTAAAGAAAAATTGGTCTTGAAATTTCAAGACGAATTTAGCCCAGTTTTGTTGTACCTAAACATATTTAAGTTTATTAAAAAATGTCAAAAACACACTGGAACGTCAAAAACACATTTTTGAAAAGTGACATTTTATAACGTTTTTAACGTTTAGAATGCAAAAAACACATTTTTAAAATGTTTTAGACAGATTTTAGAATGTTTAAACGTCAAAACACATTGGAATTTTCAAAACGCAATGTAAAAGTCAAAAACACAATTTTAAATGCCAAAAATACTTGAGAATTAGAATGGTTAAAAACATTTAAATCTATTAACATAATTGAGAATGTGAAACACAATTTGGAATGTAAATTTGTGAAACATTTTTAAAATGTCAAAAACATTAGACAAACAATTTTTACTACCCAATTTAGATGTTAAAACACAATTTAAAATTCCAAAAATTCTTGAGAATTTAAAAAAACACATTTTGATGTATTGAAAGAAGTCAAGCATTTTTAAATTGAGAAAACACAATTTAGATTGTTTTAAAAATGTTAAACAACATACTATGGAAATATTTTAAACCCATTTAACAAAATTTACAATGTCACATCATTTTATAACGTTTTTAACGTTGAGAATGCAAAAAACAATTTTTAAAATGTCGTAGACAGATTTTAGAATGTTTAAAAGAATATTATGAAACGTCAAAACACATTTTAAAATACCAATTCCATATTTAATGTCAAAAACACATTTTAGAATGGTTAACAACATTATAAAATGACAAAAGCACAATTAAGAATGCTAAAAACACAACTTGGAATGTTAAAAACAAAATTGGTGACACAATTTTAAAATGTAAATTTAGAATGTCAAAAATAGTTTAGAATTTTTAAAACGCAATTAAGATGTCATAAACACAATTTAAAATTTCAAAAATACTTGAGAATTTTAAAAAACACATATAAAATGTTATAAACATATTTTGGTGTATTGAAAGATGTCAAGCATTTTAAAATGTTGGAAACACATTTTAAAATATTTAAAAGCATATTATGAAATGTCAAAAACATTTTAAAATGACAATTTTATATTTTATGTCAAAAACACAAACTGGACTGTCAAAAACACATTTTAGAATGGTTAACTTTATAAAATGTCAAACCGCATTTTAGAATGCCAAAAACACAATTTGGAATGTTAAAAAAAACATTAAATTTTTGATACATTTAAATGTCAATTTGGAGTATCAAAAGCAATTTAGAAATTTTACTACGCAATTTAGATGTCAAAAACACAATTTAGAATGCCCAAAACACATTAAATTGGTGCCACATTTTTAAAATGTCAATTTAGAATGTCAAAAACAGTTAAGAATTTTTAAAATGATGGAAACACATTTTAGAATGTTTAAAAGCATATTATGAAACGTCAAAACACATTTTAAAATGCCAATTCCATATTTAATGTCAAAAACACAATTAACATAATTAAGAATGTGAAAAACACAATTTGAAATGTCAAAAACACATTAAATTGGTGACACATTTTTAAAATGTCAATTTAGAATGTCAAAAATTAGTCTTGAAATTTCAAGAGAAATTTACCCCAATTTTGGGACACCCTGTATAGAAAGTATTTTTATCTGTCATACTTAGTTGATTAGATTTATTTATTTTTAAAGTAACTGTTATTTTAAAAATGATAAGATAAGTCAATGTAAGGTGTAAAATGATTATTAGGCACGATTCCATTATTATTTTTATCATTGAGTGTATTAAATTCTTTTATAATACAGTTATAGAAAAAGTATGTATACAATTTTTACCTAGAATTAATATTGTTTTAATATTCATATTAATTAACCTTAAACTCGCGATTTTACTAAAAAACGCGCAATGTTGCCAGGTCATCGATGTGGTGTCGACGTTGCCGCTGCACAACTCCATGGGGCCGATGGGGGCGACCCCCAAGGACGTCCCCATGACCCCCTACGTGTTCTCCAACTCTCCCCCCAGAGCTAGAGGTCTGTCCAACCTGGGCAACACTTGTTTTTTCAATTCCGTCATGCAATGTTTGGGACAAACCCCCTATCTACTGAGCTTGCTGGATGAGACCGCCGAAACGGGGCAGTTTTTTCAACTGCCCGGGGGCAAATGCCTCATGGAGAACAAGGAGAACATCGAGTTGGATCCGATGCAAGGTGAGCGGCAAGAATTTAAAAAACGCAACTTTGCATGCCTAAAACACAATTTAGAATGTCCAAAGCACTGTTTATAATTGAAAACGCATTTTGAAATGTCAAAAACACATTTTAGAATGTTAAAACGCAATTTGAAATGTCAAAAACACATTTTAGAATGTTAAAACGCAATTTGAAATGTCAAAAACACATTTTAGAATGTTAAAACACAATTTGGAATGTCAAGAACAAATGCATCTTAAAATGTTTAAACATAGTGTTAAAACATACATATTATATTACTCTATGAAATGTCAAGAGTCAAAAAACATTTTAAAATAATAAATAATAATAATAATAATAAACTTTATTTACGGCACAAGGCCATGAGTATAATTACAAAAATATTACAGCATACAGAACATAAA